AGAGCAACAGTATTTCTAGAAGCAGTTTATTTTTAGTTATATAGGTATACTGTTAAAATATAGCCTTTGTTCTTTTACCAAACAGCCTAAAGTTTGCAGTATAAACCTAACTTTCTTAGCTATTTAAGGCCAAATTTGTAGACACATTTGTTTGTGGTTTTTTTTTTTAAATCCTGCTGTTTGTTAAACTGAAAGGACATGAAACATGTAAACAGCAAATTCAATTTATTAGTTAAAATTATTTTCATTTAATTGATGTAAAAATGACATAATTATATACAACTCTGAATCACTTTTTCTTGACAAATGGTTAATTACTTGGCTGATAAGACCTGTGTTAGGATACAAGATGCTTCTTTTCCCACACTGCTTTTGCTGAAGACTTTAGGAAGCATGGTGTTTCATAAACTTCAACAAACTTCTGGTTTTTTAAATCTTAAGGTTTTTGTACTGCATATTCTGTTTTTGTATGTCATTCATAGTTAAATGTTTCCTTATAGTCTAATGTTTCATTTCTGACAAGCCATTAAAAATGTGCCAAACCTCAAAAATATTATCCTGTCCTGTTGTGTAGAGTATAGCATAACAGAGGAAAAAAATTGTAACACAGCAAAAAGGTTATGATTAAGACTATTTTCCCAGTTTCTTCATTTTTGTGGGAAGCTGAATCTCGATAATCTTTGTAGCTAAATACATCTGTGTTAAACATTTAAAATAGGTAGTACTCATGGGAAAACTGATTGGAGCTTAAAACTTGTACAAATTGACAGCCTCTCTTCACTCCATTTTTCATCCTAAAGAAGTCTGCAAATATTCTTAGCTCACATCATTATTGCTCATCAGTGGTTCTAATTAGCTAAACAGGAGTTTGTCTCAGTCATTGATCATCATCAGCTTCTTGACAGTGCCCAATTTTTTTCCCCCCATATTCCAGTGGACTTTTTTAATGTATTGTAAATACATAACAGCTCAATTAATAAAGTTGGTCGAATATTTTTCTTAATATGTTAGCCTTCTAAAAAAGAGGTGGTGACTGCTGCAATTCTTATCAACTCTCAGTTCAAGGTGCAACAGCAGATCCAAATATGATATGTAAGTTCCAGTCAGTCATATTACCTTGAGTGATTGGAGGGAACTGTCCTGTAACAAGCATTGGAAGCCATTGTATGCCATCAGGAGAAGCTGCTGGTAAAGTTCCATATGAGGTTTCAATTTATGCTTTAGGCTTCTGACAACATCCATTGTGTGCTTAAATTCTGATAATTAGGATTTTTCTTTAGCTATGGGTAATAATTGGTGAAAATATTTTTTGGTGCATTACTATAGCCTGTGCTATCTAGAGAGCCTGAAAGAAAACCTCAGAAAGCCAAAATAAATTGAATTTACTTTAAACTTTTCCCACTCATTATGAAGACAATAGATCTGTATTTATAAACTTCATTCCTCGACAGTTTTATTCGAAGGACTGTTTGAGCATTGGATAAACAGGGAAAATACTGCATTTACCTAGAAATGCACTTTGAACCATTGGCTAGTGTGTGCCTGTCTTACAGGCACATTTTTTTTTTGCTTTAACAACGGTATGTTTTTTCTCGCTAATCCCAGACTTTATTCTGCAGACCTCTTTCATGCAGCCTTGTCCTAAAGTCACAGGGCTCCATAAATTCTTGACTACCAATAATATACCAGAATTAGCTGTGCATACTACTTTTCAGTTCTCCAGAGCAGTTTTTTTCTTTTACTTGGTTCTTGGCTGTCTTATTCACTTTCTTCCCATGCTCTCTTTAAAATAATTTAAAAAACCCAAACACTCCCCCCCCCCCCCCCCCCCCCCCCCCCGACCCACTTACGTGCCTTGCGTCCG